TGGCGCCCCATTAGAGAAGCTGAGGATGGGATTCGCAGCCTACGGTCGTACCTTCCGCCTGTCATCATCAAGCACTGGTGTTGGAGCTCCTGCTAGTGGACCCGCTTCAGCCGGACCATACACCCGTGAAGCTGGATTCTGGTCCTACTATGAAGTAAACAACTGCCTTTGGATACTTATTATATGTATCATTTTAGTAGTATTTGACAGACAATGGCCTATAAAGAAAATAGTTCAATATTCCTGACAATATTTTATATTCTTTAGATCTGCAACTTCTTGAAGGACACCACCATCCAGTGGATCGATGACCAGAAAGTTCCATATGCAACTAAAAACAATGAGTGGGTGGGATTTGACAACAAGGAAAGCTACAGGACCAAGGTACATAGACGTTCTCCACCGAACACCTACTGTGTGTGAAGCAATTCCAACAGCATCTCTTATTTGTGGTCAAACAGGTCAACTACCTGCAGGAGAATAAGTTTGGTGGAGCCTTTGTTTGGGCCCTTGATTTGGATGACTTTTCTGGAAACTTCTGTGGAGAAGGGAGACACCCTCTCTTGTCTCATCTGCGCAGTCTTCTCAACATCGGTAAGGCATGGCGGCATTCAACCTCAGTCTACACTAGAAAGAGACAATGTCTTCATTAATACTATTCAGTGTTTATTTACTATAAAAGGGAAATACAAATTTATGAGTGGTATTTGAGTAGTAATACTATAATTCTGCCTTTACAGAGCTTCCACCAATGCCCTCAACCACCACCCCCAAGCCTGGCGCTAGCACCACGTCTCCAACCACCACCACCACCACCACCACACATGCTCCGGGATCTGGCTTCTGCAACGGCAAGGCTGACGGTCTCTATGCCCACCCCGACGACAGGACCAAGTTCTACATGTGCGCTGGAGGCACCACGTACGAGCGCGTCTGTGGAACCGGATCCGTCTTCGATGCTGGCTGCAAGTGCTGCGTTTGGCCTTGAGCTTTCAGTGGTAGCGATGTAAAATGTAGCTCAAACCAACAATCAAAAAGACTGCAAATCTCTTCTTTCATCTATTGTTTGTAAAAACATGTACTTGGCTGTATTATAACTTGATGAAAAAAAATGTAGTTTTGGAAAAATATGGCAAAAAATAAAATTCGTCAACGAACAGCAAACAGAACCTACATCTGTACCCTTGACTACATTATTGAGAGCTGTCAAAAATACATCTTATTGGAAATAAAGTAATAAAAACATTATTTTAGTGTAATTTCATTGTGAATAAAGGAGACGAGATCATGTAAAGACCACTTTTACATTTGCAAAAGAAAGCCTCAGACCTCCATCTTAAGGAACAAATATAATGCATCAACATTTCTTAATATCAGGGAAGTTAAAGTAAGGGCACCAATAGGTCTTCCAAACTGCAGATAGCCAATCCCATCCAGGTCCGCTTAAAGGACAATAAAAATCTAAATTTCAGAGCAGCCATCACAACATCTCAATCTCTGTTGTACTGAAAATTTGGGAGCAGATCTATGAAGGTGAGTTCTGTGTGCTTAAACTTGAGTTCACAGACGGTTGTAGTCATGCACTGGAGCACATTATATTTTTTACTGGAACACATTTATCACGACAAAGATCCCAATTTAAACTGATTTAAGCAGGAGCTCAGAGGTTCCTCCTCCCTCATGGTGCCACCAAATGGTGCAGAGAAAATTTAGTTTTGGGAAAATACAAATACATGTTCACAAGCATGCAGTCCACAACAGGTATGTTGTGTTGAGGTACTTTTTTGTAAATGCTGATTTACAAAAAAGTAAATCAGCATTTTTGGCTGATTGGAGTTCAGAAAAAATGTTCTCCAAAGCTTTGACCTGATATTTCAGAATATGCAGAATGAAGTTTTGATGCAAGACTAAAAAAAAATATTATCACACAGTTTGTTGGGGCCCAATTCTTTTCACATGCAAAGTTTCTTCCCAGCAGAGGCGCATCTAAAAGTTGCAGGACATGGGCCCTTCAGCACTGGAGTCTGACACCTGCGAGTTAAGCTGTTTACAAGAAGGATCAGAACCGAGTGCAGTCACTGAGGAAGCATTGGTCCCTCAGTGCAAGATGCTGCATATCTTCTGTAAGTCTGTTATGGAGAGTTGCTCAATATCGTCGTCACTTGCGTTAGCAGCATCAGAGTTCAAAATGTTGAAGAAGCTCATTGAGAAGCGCTGTCTCTTTGTTTCTATGGAGACTGTGCTGGAACCTCTGGGGATTATCAGGCCGTAAACTTTGCACATTCATTTTAATTTATGAAAATGCGAGTCAGCTGAATTTCTCTCCTGCCATCTTATTAGAAGAGGGCAAGTACTCTTCTAATAACTCAAAAACAAGGAGCAGCTCTGGGCAGTAAAAGGGCAATGCTTTGAAAATCAGACTTTTTTCACACAATATGAATCCAGATCATCTGAATGTAGTGCACTGTTGATATAGCTGCTACGTGTCCCGAATAGATACCCCAGCAGACAAACATCAGGTTTACCTGGTAGATAGTTCTTTATCAATTAAGATCATCTGGAAACTGTTCTGAACAATATGAACTGAGAGAACTGTTCTCTCTGCACACATGGCCGTGTGTGGAAGTCAGAACAGATAAGACATAACACATTTACGAATGCCTTATCTGCCGAGTTCCTGGTCCTGTCAGGTCTGACCCGGCTGACTACTTTCGTCTGAGACTCTGGGTCTCAGCTGATTTTTCACATGCAGCACGTCTGTCCCCTCGTCCCCCTGCAGCCCTGAGCATCCTCTCCGTACGACTGGGCTCCAACAGCAGAGTGTCTCCAGTCAGATGCCTATCCAGAAACGCTGCAGTACTGACTGCTATTGGAGACTCTTCCTGCCCTTCCAGCTATCATCTACAGAGGTTATAAACATAAGTTTCTAATCTCTTGTAACTATTTTGTTCCCTTTGATGTTAATAATCTTGTGTTAAATTTATTGAAATCAAATGACTTGAGGAAATAAAATGGGGTAGGGAGAGATGTAGGAAGATTTTAATTTTTTTAAAATGTAAGAGTTATTTCATTTTTGACAAACAAAACTACATTTTCATCCTTAAACCAGTCAAGTGAATTGCTTTAATTTTTTTAAATAAAAGATTCCCATTGTTTCCTCATAGAACAAAATGTACTCAAAATGGTCACAAAGCAATGACACTCTTTCAGTTGTTTATTTCCTTCAACTAACTTTCATAATCACCATTAAATCAGCATACAAGATTACTTCAGTCTCTCAGGCTCATTATAATCTGTTTTCTGTGTGATCCTGGACAGATCTCACCTCCTTATACCAGTTTTCACAACAACACCTTAAAGTAAGACAGTGATAGCAAGAAAAAAAAGGAAAGAAGACTTTTGACTAAGTCTATCTAGGTCTTTCCTGGAATTATTCATTATATTTCAAGTAGCAAGAGATACTGAGAGTCTTTATTTGGTTTCAAAGATCCACCCCTCTTGTCATCTCTAAGCCCTGCCTGTTTTTAATCCATCCCTCCCATCGCTCAGCCAAATGCGCCCTGTGGTGGCAGCCATCTTCTCTGGAGTAGTGAGCTGCAGAGTGAGGTACTTTTAGTGGTGACAAGCAGCAGTTAACAGCTGAGAGGAAGAGGTTGGAACAGCTAATGAGGAAGGCCATCTGACCCAGGACGCTTCCTCCACCTATTGCAGGTAGCCGAGAGACAAATGGGCGATAAAATCTAACATCGCCGATGGACGATGTTAGATCGGACTGAACCACAGAGCTCCTTCAGTCCGCTTTCTTTACAAGTGTGCGGAAAACTTATATTACACTCATGTGAAAAAACAAACGCACACAATTTCAGTCATGGTGTTTCCATAAAAAAAAAAACGCAATTAAAAATCTGCACCATGATCCTCCTACCTCTTCCGGTTGTTGTCGTCTTCGTCTTTTTTGCCTGTCGCAAAATCATTTGTTGATCACATTACTGCCTCTGATACGACAAAAAGTTGTTTCCATTTTTGTTTTGTGAAATACACTAATTTTATCTCATCGTAGTGTTAAACCTTCTTTTTTTATTGAAAATGTGTGTTTTTTTTAAAAACTGGTGTTTCCTCTAAGCCAATTTATTTTCCTCATAAGGTGAACAGAAAAGCAGCTGGTTACATGTGAACGTTTTTAAATGATCTCAGAGGATCTGACTGTTTTTATCATGCTGTACATCTCATCTTAGTTTACATCGTTATCATTAATTATGTGTATCTGATTGCTTCCATCTGCCCCACCAAGGCACAATAAAGGATATTTCTGATGTATATTTTATGCATTGCAGACTTTAGATAAATAAGAGCACAGTCGGATTTGTTTCTGTTTTTTTCATCTCAGCTCTAAAGAATTCAGAGAACTTTTTTTTTCCTTTTGCTGTGGGAACCCCTAAACAACTTTTTTTTTTTTTTTACCATGCACCACTACAGTTGGAAGGCATGGCTCCACTGATGTACACCATTCTTCACATTTATCTTTATTACTGATGTGAATATACATATTGTTTTCTTCTTTCTCCCTGTAGGGGTCAGTGTCCTTCTGCTGCGGGTCTAATCTGAAATTATTCTGCAGCCAGTTCCCTCAGCTGAACCGCTTCCCTTTACGTTATTACACACATGTGGTCTTTCAACCACTTGTCCCTCCCCCCCATCTTAATTTGTTGCACAACTTCACATAAAAAGACAAACACATTTCATTGTATAAATGAATACACAGTAGGTAACCTCTTAAGCAGGCCACTCTGCTTACATGCAGCAGAGCACGAACAAAGAGAACTTCCTTTAAGAAAAAGTAGTTAAATAAAAAGAATGTTTGAACCCTCATTTTTTTACCCTCAAATATCTTGTGCCATTTTTGGACGTAACAAATGTTAAATGTTGAACTTAACGCTTCATGGCCAGACATGCCGAAACCTGTAAATATAGGAAAAATGAATTTTAAGACCAGACTAAAGTAATGAAAACTTGATGTATTTATGAGAGACGTGACGCAGCAATGTTTTCTTGCCGTCAGTGAGGCTCAGCTGACTGTGCAGTCCGATACTGATCTCTAGAAAACGCATCACTCCAAGTTCACAGTGGAAAAATCAACCTGTACAGTCACACCGTAACAAGAGTCCAAAGAGAAAAATTTCCAACTAGTGTAAAACTAGAAAACCAGAATGTCATCAACTCCAGGGGTCGCATGGAATGTCCTTGTCAAAAGTTCTGCCAATGTCCAGAATATGTGGGCTCAGCCATGTTTTAGGTGATGTCCTTCTGCCTGGGCGGCCGGTGAATATTCCTCACCACACACTTCACCATCCACTGAATGCCTTCGTTCACTCCGTCCCTGCAGCACAACCAGGGAAGAATCAGCAACAGCTGGATTTTTTTCTCACAAAGTCTCTCAAACAAATGTTGAACTGAATCTTCTGAATCTGAAAGATGTTGATAAATGTCTCTGACATTTTCTACCTCTTATTACACTGGCACTTGGAATTTCCAAAATTATTTCTAACTACCTAAAACAAGAGAAGTTTCACCTGGTATAACTGAAGACAGTGAGAAAAAACTAAACAGGAGTTTTTTTATTCAGTGTATGTGAAATGATCTAAAGCATTCTCTTAAAAACAATTCTATGTTGTTCATGTTTGTGGTGAAATGAGTGATTTCTTTTAGGCAGTGACCACGTTTAAATGTAAGGATGCCAACAGCCCAAACATTAAATACATGCAAAGTGTGCATCCAACAAGCCACGAATATCAACCTGCCCGCATTTATTAAGTGCCAAAAACACAAACAACTCTTTATACTGATGCTGAAACACAGCGCTGCAGCCAAGAAGTATTCATACCCTGTGAGGGCAGTGCAGGGCTGCACTAAGCAGTCTCTTTTGCCGATCTTTGGTGCCGAATCACTGAAGGCTGTTTTGATGTCTGGCACCGACAAACAACTCTGAGAAGAGAAAAACACACAACGCAACCGTCAAAAGCAACACGAGCGCAAAGTATGACGCTCACAAACTCATTCCTGGTTTGTCAAACACTGTAGATATTTTATTTGGCATTTTTGACAAGTCAAAATGTACAAAGAGAAAAAAGAAAAATCAATTTTCACTAAAGCCATATATCATAAGATTATCATTCTGAATAAAAAAAGGTCAGAAACCGGCAGACCCAGAGGAAAAGAAGATTAATTTCTGCTTTTGTAACATTCCTGGCATCTCTATGTAAAGTCAGAGTTTAAAAAGTTGGTTTTGTTCCCTTTTTGTTCTTCTGAGTCAAAATCACCACCTGTTCTGAACTGAGTGCGACTTTTTCAGTAGCTTCATCATTTCTTTTACAAATATCAGCAAATCTCTGTCTATATTCTGCTAATGTCCCAAAAAAATAATTTACAATTGCAGTGTTTCCATTAAATAAGATATGAATACATGAACGAGCTTGTTCACACGGCAAGTCGTTAAAACTCATGGCAGTGACGGATGGAAACAGTTATATGAGATATATTCAGAATTCAGCGACAGCTGAAAAATGTGGGTTTTATTCAAAATTGCTGTGTTTCCTTTAAGCCAATTTGAACAGATTGCAGTTTTCTCACAGAGTGTCTCGAAGCGATCGGGCCTTTAAAAGACCGGATTGCGATTTGACCGATACCGAATTTGTTCTCTGAAAAGTACTTAAATATATCGACCAGTGCTGCTGTTTGATATTTCCAAAATTACATTAGGGTTGTAATTTTGCAGATTTTCACATTATATGGGATCAAACCGCAGCGATCTTTGTGAATTTGCCCCTCGTCTCTGTGTGAATATGAAGATGAATGGATAAGTAATGGAGGGTCACTGTACCGGTACATCCTGCTTGTTGGCAAGAATGAGGAGCGGAACGCCTTCCAATGCCTCGCTGCAGATCATTTTCTCTGGAAAACAATCCCGATACAATTCATGTGGGTCGAAAACACACATTTATCTTTTCACTACAATAAAGTCACCTGGCATAAAATCAAAATATAACTTACCAAAGGCTTCCTTTGACTCTGAAAGGCGGTCTTCATCAGTTGAATCAATCACATAGATGACTCCGTGTGACTCTGCATAGTACTAGAGCATGAAAGAAAAGTTAGTTTTTCCAGCAACAGAATGTTTTACAGACGGTTCTGGAGGTCGCACTGGACGAGCAAAATTTGACAACAGTTTAAAAAATTCAAACATTTTTTTCCCCCTGAATTATTCAACCTAAGCATTTACTGCAGCTGTACATTAGAAATGTATTTTGGACCAAAGTTTTTAAACGTATTTCCAGACACACCTTGAAAGTCAGCCTCTGCTTGTGTCATTGTTAGTCTAGTCGATATGGACTTAGAGCTTTATCGCAATATATTGGGGTACTAATAATCTGATAACAATCAGGATTATGATAAAAAAACAAAACAAAAAAACCTAGTATTTAAATTTTAGGCATTTTTATGAATGTGGTTGCATTGCACCGCATTCATAGTGCCACAAACACAGATACAGTTCTTGAAAAACATTCCCATTTGAAATAAGCTATTTAAAGAAAGTAACTGCATTTAATCTTGCTTTCAAATTTACTGATACTTATTGATGCTCTCATGGAACAAACAGCGCAGGAAATGGTAAAAATACCATTCCCAACAATATTGTCAGTTTTGATTTTTTTTTTACTGTAATTTCTTGTGACAACGATAAATCAAAGTTCTTATTTTTCACAATACGTTAATACCAAACCCCAACAGAGAATTCATACTGCTGGTGCTTCATTTGTAGCATACTTTGTCCCAGAGAGACTGCAGCTCCTCCTGACCTCCCAGATCCCAGAACATGAGGCGAGCCTTGCCGACGTCGATGGTACCGACTGCGAAGAGAAGAGAAAGATCCGTGACAAATGCTCCGACACATCGGAAAAATTTCAAGCAGCTTCTGTTTGTGACTCCAGACGTCTGAACCACAGGCACAAGTATCTGAATTAGGACAAACAGAAGCCTTGGAAACATGATTTGAATATCAACTTACTGTTTAACCCAACTGTTGTTGTGACTTTGGACAGATTCATCCCCTTGTAGTTTTTACTGAACTTAGTCTTGGTCTGTTCCAGAAAGGTCTGCAGAGAGAAAGAGAGAGAGAGAAAGAGAGAGAGAGACAGAGACAGAGAGAAAGAGACAGAGAGAGAGCAACATTGGGTTATTTGGATCAAAGCGGACATACAAGCTGCAACTTTTCAGCAGATCCGACAGGTTTCTCACCAAACTAGATTTTGATCCTTATCTAATCAGAACAATGCTGAAGATGTGTATAAAATAACTGCTACGAAAGTTGACAAACAGTTGGTGTTGGTTGGTGAAGAGGATGGTAAACAAGTGGCTTCTTGTGGTTACCAGGTCTCCAAAACACCTAGATGCTCTCCGTATAGCAACCAGCTCATGTTGCTGAAAACCCTTTATTATTCATCTACTACGTACAGTGGAGGATGTGTGATGCTGTGAGTTTGTATACATTGCTAGGGACATGGAACCTGCTGTCACTGATTGTTAAACCAAATAGATTTTTCTCTTGACAACAACAGAGGAGGAAAAACGAGAAGTAAACCAACAAAAGAGAACATACCGTCTTTCCTGCATTATCCAGCCCCAGGATCAACACGCAGTATTCGTCCTTCTGAAACATGTACTTGTATAATCCAGACAGCAGAGTGTACATTTTGGATCAGCTGAAAGAAGAACTGACGCGCGACTCCTGCTAACTCCTGCTGTTAGCTTGGTTTAGCTAAGTACCCGTCAGTCTGTCACGGCAAACGCGTTTCACTTAGACGTCATTATGTACAGAAAACAGCTCGCTGTGCTAAAACAGCCCGATAACCGTGAACGCGTCTAACAAATATTGGGAAACAAATACGTTACACGACGACAAGTATCTTCTTCTTTTTTTTCTTCACCGTCTTTTTCCTTCTTTTTGTTGACAGTGCAAGAGCCGAAATGTGAATTGTCGCCACCTGCTGGTCTGGAGTGAGAAAAAAAGAGAAAAAAAACCCGATTCTTTTTATACACTTGATTTGTAAATATTGTAACTATAAGAAAAAAATATACATAAATGAATAAATAAAATGTATTTGACTGAACACACTTAGCGAGACCTTCCACTATAAAACGTACAAACTTCTAATAAAACCCTTATTTACAATAAAACATTCTGAAATTGCCCACATGTATAACAACTCCTGGACTACAAATGCACTTATTGAATTACTAATTAGACAAATAAATTTTACAAGTGACTGTATAATCATACATTAACTTGGCCTCCACGTTTTGTTTTATTGTAACGCATATTTTGCATTTCAATAAATCGTGTTACATGAGCTATGTGGCTGATTGCAATAACAACACAACTCAGTTTCATACCTGCATCATTTATAATATAACTTGTTCAGTCCAGTATGTTCCACAGTAAGTCAAGTAATTTCATTACTTTCTCTTTCCTTTTCCCAGCTCATTCACCAACCAATGAAATGTTGAGGATTTAAACGTACCTTCCTTTATCATCACTGTCCCATTACTCTTGCCAAAACTAACAAGTACAGTGCCTATAGGAAGTATTCACCCCCTTAAAAGTTTTGCCCTTTTTGTTTCTTTTACAAATCAATGATCAACAACAATCCTTTTCTGACAATTAACTGCACAAAAGCCCCCATTTAATAGCAAATTAAAACTGACTTCAAGAAAATAACGACAATTAAGTAAAAATATACATGATAAAAAAAAAAGTGATCATGGGAACATTCACCCGTTGCACATTCCAACCAAAGCGTGGCAAACAAAAGGCAATTCAATCGAGTTGCTTAAAATAGGTGGGAAAACTTAAGTTACAATTTTCAAGGTTCATCAGATTCACTTTCTTAAGAACATGACCGCGATGCGATCAAACAGGCATCCTGAACACCTGATCGTATTCCACCCTGATTGTTGTAGGGGCTGCTTGCACTTTAAATGAGAATAAAAATCACTAAACGCATGAAAACGTTTGTGGCATGAAAAGGCAGGTGTAATCCTGAAGGACTGTGAGGTTGCTGCTCTGCTCAACATCTTGACACGTTTGTCAGATTTTAAATGAAAATCCATAAATGACACCAAGATGTGCAACTTCTGAGACACGAATTTGTCCACTAATCTTTACATAGAGTAATCCCTGACACTAATTAATACACCCTATGAAAAAGGAGAAAAATGACATTTATGTTTAGATTCATTGTGAGACATGACAGAGACAGCAGTAATGAAGCAGATTTGACTGTAAACCCACCACCTACATAAACAATATCATCAGTATTGATCTGGAAACCTGCATCAGGTTTACACAAAGGTGGTAAATCCTTTATTTAAAAACGTAAACGAAGCAGATGTTGTTGTCTGTGGCCATTAGGTGTCAGCACAAAGCTATGGTACGATATGACAGGAATGTTTGCAGAGCTTCAGAGATATGTAATCTGCCATGAAGTGAAATGCAGTCTCCTTGGAGTAATCAAGACTGTTGGAGTTAAAAAAAAAACAAAACAAAAAAACAACTAAAATCTTTCTAAAGAGGGCAGCAAATCATTTTAAAAAGGCTGAACATCTGTGGTGCATGACAGCACTGACACAGACTGATAGATGCCTCAGTGAGCATTCTGACGGCTCTGAGCCTCAGGCACAGACAATCCGTCCCAACACCCTGAGCAGCAGCATGGGTCAGGTTCAACACGAGGCAAAGAGATGCAGATGTGGAGTTCACAGTTGGGAAGGCACAGAGACAGCGCTGAATCCGGTTGAAACCTGCATCAGAACCAAGCATTTCAATTTTGTTTGGCAAAATGTGAATGAATGCACTGAATGGTTAACTTTCTGTCTGTGTCTCAGTGAATTGAACAAAGAAAGAGTACTTGCACAAGCAAAAACCTGACCTCTGACCCCGAAGGCAGCACATCATGGTTTGATTCTTCTGCATCTTGACAATTGCTTCAGTCATAGTCGTTTCCAGGATTCTGAAATGCAGGTAAAATACCTGCTGGCTTGTAATTGTGTTTGGATCACAGCTCCATATTTGAAAATGCCTTTTTTGACCTGCAGTAAATTACACCCACTGATAATAGACAAATTATTTAAGGTGAGTAAGTGACAATGACAATAACTTTGATTTGATTCGTGAATTGTGATGTGCTTACAATTCACAACACATTGCTTGCTTGTGTCTAAACCCAGAAACACATAAATGATTTTTTAAAATCCAATTTTACCCACAATTTCTAGCTGAGGAAAGTGGACAGCAGCTGCTAAACACCAAAAGAAAAACAGAAACTGAGACATGACAACAGCCATGTGATTTATTTTTGTCCCTTAAAAATGTTATCTGTGATGCAACAAACATAAACACAGAACAGCAGCGGGCAAAATACACAAAACATTTTGCTGGCATAATAAACGAACGTAAAGAAATGCTGGAAGACAGACAAAAACGGTTCCAGTATTAACCGAAGGCAACTATAAAGAAATCTGCGTTTAGACATGTTTTAAAAGAACTCAGCATTTCAATATTCCTGTTTTCTGGAAGTTTGTTCCAGATTAGTTGAGTCTGAAAACTGAAAAGCTGCTAACACTTAGTTTATCTTTAGCTGCTCTGGCACATTCATGCATTGATTTCCTTCAGTTTATCAACTCAAAACTTGAATGGGCTCATCAACACCTAGTGACCTGGTGACATTAACGCCTGCTAACTAGAGTTGCACATCATCTGCATAACTCTGTAACTTATCTTGCGATTTGTCTAATCTGAGCCAGCATTCTGGTGAGCTGACGTCTCCACTGACGCTGGAACCAGGAGGAAACAGCTGCATTTGCAGATGATTGCCGTTTTGACTGTAGATTCGTAACCCCGGCCGTTGGTCTGCAAGTGAAATTGCTTCCTGACTGGAGCCTTCAGCTCGCCACTACGTCTTCAGTTCTGTGCGCCTTGGAAGTTGGTGAAGTTGTGATAGAAACTTTTGAGGTTCCTGCAACCCACGAACACCAGGAGTTGATGAGCTGCCTCACAGCCGGCTGGAAGGCTTAGAAACAAACATAATGAGTTGAAGGAATGAGCAACTGTTTTGACAGCTTCCTGGTCATTCAGAAATGTTGCACTTAGTGTACACGACTCCATCCCTGCCCAGGTTCTGGAATCGAAGAACCGTTGTAAATTAGAGTCCAAATGAAAACACAGGAGTCTTTTTCTAGTCCCGGGCATTTATATTTTAGTAGAACTTCACAGTAAAATAGTCACAGTGCTGCATTGTCAGCAAGCAGTTTCATTGCTTGCTGACAATGCAACATACTAGGTATGGATGTATTTGGGGGTGTTTAGTTCTGATTGCACAGAGCACTTCCAACATTTCTTGTTTTTCGCACAGTTAGCATGAAGGGCAGAAATTCCCAAAGCACTTCGGTGTTCAGAATCTAAACATAACTTCCCCATCTTAAAATCATAACTCTTTTCTTACTTGGATTTTTTAAATGCCTACAAATGTTTGCGGAAAGTTTCCCCCTTCAGTAATAATTCCGGTGTTCCACAGAAATGTTGTGTGGTGGAAGAAGTGATTAAATGGATTGTCTGTCGTCTCCAAGGCACTCGAGTTTCTTGGCATTAGAGAGAGTAAAAACCAGCCGGGCTGCAATCTGCCAGCGGCGGTGGAAACTGGGCATAATTGCTGTTATGAAAGTTTCAGCACAAGAGGAGTTTCACTGGCTGTTACTGACGTAAGACAATGCAAAGGGCAAAAAGGAGAAAATAGACCCAATTATCCACACAACATATGCTTCACTGTACCGTCAGTGGCACCGCCACATAAAACCACAGTCTTTTCTGACTTCTCAGTTTACTGAACTTCTTATTCAGTCGCAGTATTGTCAAGGTTTCAATGCCTTTGACATAACAACAGGAACAGTGGATTCTTCCCACACGCAATTCTTATTTATGTAAACCACAAAACATCAGTTTGCCCAGGAGTTTAAGCTTGATTCAATTGCTTTTATATAATCAACAAATCTGGAACCACTTTCAGTAACTTTGTGATTAGAAACTACACCGGATATATTTTAAGGTTAATTGAACATAACTTGATCTCATTTGCCACAAACCACAAAACTGCCTCTTTACTGGTTTCAGACATAAACAGCCACCAGATCCTTTCAAACTGATTTATTTACCTACAGACTCATTGATGTTTAGCATGTTGGGTGTTCTAGAGCAAAAACTCTTACTGACATATAAATCCAACAATTCTGATGTATTCCGTTGCTGTCTTGAAAGCATTGTATCGCTTTACATCAAAGGTACAATTCTTCTTCATTTTTCGCTTCAGGATGCAAGAAAAATATCAGAAATTATTGTGTATAAACGTTCCCAAAAGTTGACAGTATGTATAATTAAAATGTTATATATTCTTGATATTTACTCTCCTCAACAACATAGAAATATTAGTTTCAGAAAGTCTCTGCTTTCTGAAACTTGTCCATATCTATAAAATTGCACCTGGTATTCAGCTTTGTGCTAATTTTCTGTGATCTCTTAATTATTCAGCAGTAGGAAACCAAACAGTGTGGCATCATTTGCGGTCTGAAGTTCTGCAACGTGCGGTTCAGTAAAAGTTGCTGCATAGCAAAAACTGCAAAGTTATGAAGCTGTTCAGACAAACTGGTATGAACTTCATTCCAACTAATGAAAGCACTCAAAGTGAATTTTTGAAGTGCTGAGCTGAGCAGTTGATGTCTCACTCATTGGTGCATGTCTGACTGAGTTTGACGAGCTGGACAGAGGAAGCCTGAAAGTCAGTTCAACTTTGCAAATTATGATTTAAGTGAATAAATGTTTTCTCTTACACTGCAAAAATCTTTGTTTTTGATCTTGTCTCTAGTGCAAATATTTTAGTACACTTGAAATAAGAGAAAACTAAGTTCTAATTAACTTCCCAGCAAGATAAGGGAGCTTGTTTTATGTCAATGATTGCTTAATATTAATTAAAATGTTCTATTTCCATTGGCAGATTATTTCACTAAAAGCATTGGGACAATATCTTGTTACAAGACAAATAATCTGCTAAAGGAACAGGCCGTTTTTCATAAACATTAAGAAATAATTAACTTAAAACAAACTCATTTTTCTTGCTGGAATGTTATTTGTAAAGTAGTTTTGTCTTATTTCAAGTGTATTAAAGGGTTTGCACAAAAAACCAAAACTACTAAGATTTTGTGTTTTTGCAGTGGAAC